TAAAATTGTCAACAAACAGTTTCCCCGCACAGATAGAATGAGGCACGAGGCGAAATCCTTCAGACTGTGTTTACGATTTAAAATAAATGGTCGGGATTGGAGTAGAGTAGGCTTTGTTTCCTGCTGTTTTAGGTAGCGGTATAAGTCATAAATGGCGAGCGATTTTTTTCTTGCTTCCATTGATTAGCCAATAATTGATGGGTGACATACAAAAAAGTTTTTCCGAGATCCTCAGTGTTTTGGAAGACACATTAAACCGTTGGTCCCAGCTGCATCTGCATTCGTTAACACCCACCAATCCACACTAAGCCCGCGAGGTGGGCCATAGCACATTCTCCCAATACAATACAATATAATCCTTAAGGAAAGCCTCTGCCGCACCAGTGAGGAATTAATATACTGGTGGTAATAATAAAACACAAAGATTTCCAATGTCACTGTAAGTACTAGTAAAACTTCACCAAAATCCAATAATTGCCATAGCGTCATCCGATGAAGCCATGCGACTTCGTGACTGTGTTACTTCTAGCGAAAAGAGTTTACAACTGAAACCTCATAGTCAGAATGTTCAGTTGAAACTGAAGGCTTGCAGCTCGCATTATGAATACTTTTATCAAACTCACTTGAGTGAGATAATTGATTTTAATTTATCTTACTGTAACATCACTGAAAAAATACAACTTAAAAAAGCAGAAAGGTCGAATAGGTGTTTTCTTAATGGCCATTTAAATATTTGAAAAATTTCGTTTTCGAAATAGTAATTTCACTAAATGTTGTTATAGTAAATGTTAGGATCCTCTATTCTCATCTTGGACCAATTGTAGCTGGTAACCCGTGACCTTTTGCCCATCTTGACCCCTTGTCACGTCACAGGCTTAGTGTAATTAAAATTTTCGCTGCAATATCTTCGTTTGATTTTACGATTACCCTTTGTTATTTCTTATAATAAAAATCGAAATAAGTCTAATCATTTTTGTTTACAATGTGTCAGTGTCACTAATAAAGTTAACTAGCATAATTATTTAGGAATCATACTAACACGTCCTGACAAAAACAACTAAAGCAATCGCTACATCTTATGACTCGGACCAACCACTGAAGAATTCTGAACAAACCTGACAGGAGAAGGCCGATTTAGATGCCTACAATCTTATTTACGTCTTATCCAATGAGAATAAACTCGAAATGTGGAAATTCCGAAACAAAAAAATATCTTTGTTTAGAATGAGGTTTATTTCTCATTCGCACATGGTAACATATGGTGTGAGTAGCAATGAAGTATATCGATGGGATTATAATAAATAGGTCATCGTTTGAGTTACGATCTTAAAAGCACATTTTAAATTACCAATGAATATAAGGTCAATTTCATATAATTAAATCTTAATTCTTGTCCATTTACTTTACTATCGAATAGCTCGGTGGCGTAGTGGATAAGTGCCGCGGCCCGGGAACGGGATGGGTGACCGAAAAATTATTATCTCCAGCTACACCGTGCATCGGAAGGCACGTTAAACCATTTGCCCTGCTGCATCTGCAATCGTTAATACTCTGCAATCCGCATTGGACCAGTGTGGAGGGTCATGGCCCATTCTCTTTAACCACCCCTAAGGAAGGCCAGAGTCCCTGCAGTGGAGACGTAACAGGGCTGATGACTATATTGAAAGGCACCGTAAGTTCAAACTAATACAGCACATGGCGAGTCTTCGTTTGGCCCGAACCAGAGCGACTAATAATTCCGACTTTGTCCAAATGTACGATTAATATAAAAACGCTAAGGTACTTGTAAGGTAAGGTAATTAGTCTTGTTTCGATAACCAAAAATGTAAAACACTAGTTGTTTTCCTGCGACTCCGGTCGTGAATATTACAGCCTGTCACCACGTATGATATAGTTTCCTGTAGGTGGAATTTTCAAGAATTAGGAGCCTAATAATCTAATATTAAAATCATCGTAATTCCCTTCAATATGAGATTTGAAAAATATTAACGAACTTCACACTACAACTATATGAAATGTGATAGTGAACTCGATGTTTTTTTTTTAATTTTCGTTTGAAAGATACAGAATGAACGATATAGTACTTTGACGTTCATCGAATTGCCTAAATAATACGAAAAATGCTCGAAAGCTATTCAGAAATATCAAATGAATAAAGATTATTTTAACTTTGACTTGACTCACGGCCATTTGCACAAACATCCATAAAGGTTTAATGACGCATTTAAGCTCTAATGATTGTCAAGTTTGTATGAGTAATGTCGCTTTAAACTAATGAAAATTTGAATGAACGTTTGTGCAACTGGCTGTTAAACGAAAGAATTAAATGCTAACTAATCTGTCGACAGGTTAACTCATTACGATTGCGTCTTTAAAAGTTAAATAATTTCCATGAATCGCAATACCCTCGAAGGTCATTGCAATAGATTTTAAAATAAGAGAACTAGCCCGATTACAGTAGTATATATGAATATTACCCCATAAATAGACAATCATGAGTATTTTTAATGCCGTAAAGTAGGACAGGGTACGATTAAAGTCCACGACATATTAATATTATAAATATGAGTTTCTTTGTTTGGACGTTTGTCCGTCAATCACGCCGAAACTACTGAACGGATTTGGATGAAATTTGGTTTACCGCTAGGGTATTAGCTGACTTAGATAATAGGATACTTTTTATCCCACTAAATAGTTTCCTAGGGACCACGCAGGCGAAGCCGCTGGCGGAAAGCTAGTAAGTAATAAAAAAGGCTGTCTGTTCAATGTTTATTATCTATCCTTTACTACTTACTGTAATTTGAGAAATATAAATAAGACACAAATAATGCGATACTACTGTCTTTCATTGTTTTATATTAATAAGGAGAGTGTGTAACATTACACTTTCATTATTCGAGATTGTTCCAATTATTTTACTGCTACAATAATGTTATAAAACAAAACGTTACAAAACAATAAGTTTAATCTATCTACTATTTAATATTTTTCATAGCAACAAGATTATTACAACAAAACTATTATAATTTCTTTAATTTAATAATTGTTTGGTTCTATTCATTTATTTACATTGACAACCTCCGCAGCCGAGTGGTGTCGCTATCTCTGCTGTGGCGGGTTCGGTTGACGGTTGGGTCAATGTAGAAAACGAACTTTTCTTCCCTCGAGTCTGGATGTTGTGGTACTTTCCTTGTTTCAGATTTCGATATTAAAAGTATTGAGTAGCTACAGCTACTTAATTTGGGGACTAAACAATGTATGTAATATTGTTTAATATTAATTTGTTATTAATAACAATAAAAATATATACATATACATTTCTGTATAATGGATTCAGTTCCATCACATATTACTAATTTTCAATACGAGATTTAATAGTTTAAAACTTTAATTATTTCAAATTATTATTATTCAATCAAAAATATATTTGACCGACTGAAAAATAACAAAGAAAAATATATCATTTATTATACTATATTATACAGAGCCATAATTGTATACAAAATAAACTTAACATCTGTTACTTATAATCATAAAACAACTATTTTCCAAATCAAATAACAAACCTAAAACTAATTCATTGATTTTATTAATTCTACAAAACAGTACTTTGGTATCAATCGGTAACTTATAAAAGTACTCTTAATTGTAGTAAAAATCTAAAATTATTCAGGGAATGTTTGGTTTTTTATTGGCACACTTTTTTTTAATGGCTAAGTAACATTTATTATTATTTAATTATGAATAAAACATTTATAAAAAACAGTTTCATATTAAATTATTTTCTATGTATTAATTCATCATCATTCATCATCATCATCAGCCGGAAGACGTCCACTGCTGAACATAGGCCTCCCCCTTTGAACGCCACGACGGACGACATTGCGCCAGCTGCATCCAGCGGCCGCCCGCGACTCGGACGATGTCGTCCGTCCATCTAGTCGGGGGTCGACCCACGCTGCGTCTTCCGGTTCGTGGTCTCCACTCGAGAACCTTTCGTCCCCATCGGTTATCGGTTCGTCGAGCGATGTGGCCTGCCCACTGCCACTTCAGCTTACAAACTTTGCGAGCTATGTCGGTCACTCTAGTTCTTTGGCGAATATCCACGTTTCGGATCCTATCGCGCAAAGAAACCCCTAACATAGCTCTCTCCATGCCTCGCTGAGCGACTCTGAGCTTCTCTAAGAGGCCAGCAGTTAAGGACCACGTTTCAGTGCCATAGGTCATCACTGGCAACACACACTGGTTATACACCTTCGTCTTTAGGCACTGTGGTAATTTGGACGTGAAGATATCGCGTAGCTTCCCGAACGCTGCCCAGCCGAGTTGGATTCTTCGAGCGACCTCTTTGTCGAAATTGGATCTACCTAACTGGATTGTCTGTCCAAGGTACACGTAGTGATCGACAACTTCGAGAGTATCAGTTCCAATGACCACCGGTACGGGTGCAACATGGACATACGACATGATTTTCGTGTTGTTCATGTTCATTTTAAGACCCACCTGTATGTATTAATATTATAATATATTTTTTTTAAATGTACTATCCAAACTGTGGTATGTTGACAACAATCGGTCATTGACCTCCGGATCCAATAGAGATTTTATTAACACCAACATGTTACTAGACACTCACTTTCTTTTTTATTCCAACATGTCAAAAAAACGTGTCTTTAATTAACAGTCACAAACACGATACAAAAAAAATTATTACTGTATAATATTAGTATGTACGTCAGTCAAATCTAAAAATATAATTATATACAATATCTAAACATTGTATACAGCAGAAAAACAAAGTACTTAAGTAAAATCAACATAAAACACAATTAAAAATTAAATTATAATTGCGAATTCTATAGTTGATATTATAATGATAATAATGCCTTATTGTTTTAATTGAATATAACAGTCTTCTAGTTACAAACATTAAACTATATGAGAAGGAATTGTCAATATTTTTCTATAAAACTTTCCATTTACTTAAACTACAAGAAACATTAAAACATATAATCTCTTCTATCGATGTCTAGTCCTGAAAAGAAAAGAATAATATTTATTAAATAAACCTATTTTCAAAAATATTGTTAACTCGTATATTTATTTAATATTATAAAGAGGGCATCATTTTCTAAAATAAAAGAAAGATTTCACTGTAGGGTAAAAAAATATAATGTTTAAGTAATAAATTGTCGAATTATTTCTTGAATACAATAGGGATGACGACTCATTTTTGTTTTTCTGACCGTCAAGTGGATTATTAAGAATATTAAATACGTATTTGTTTATTTTTTACGTATTCAATAAATGACGGCGGTACATTGAGTTGAAATGTCGCATGACGTCACGCTATGGTACATTTTCTACAAAACTGTGACGTAGCGAGCCCCCACTCCTCAACTTTAAGGTATACTAAGCCATTTCTTAATAAAGATGATAAACGACATCTAACGAAACCTAACGAAAGTATAACATAAATAATTATCATGCAAAGCAAACGCCATAGTTACATTCCTCAACTCCAATAGATGGCGCTAACGTTGTCTTTTTTTTAAAAATCGCAAAAATTTGTCAAATTGATAAATCTCCAAATTTATGAAACACTCAAGTACACATAGCAGCTGATCAGGATAATGAAACAGGCAAAATTTCGATTTTGAAATAACAGTTGATAGAAGAAGACTAAATCGTAATACCACAACCTATAACTAGAATATAGAACAGTTGGGCTTGTATTATGATGATACTGTAATATGCAAAATTTCTTCAGACGATATTATAAATGTCGAACAACATCACACACATTGATCTGATTCCGAGATAAGTAGCTTAGGCACTTTTGATACGGATATCAGAAACAACGGGGGAATACAAATATATACATAATATAAATAGAAAACACCCAGACACAGAACAGACATAATTGTTAATCACAAAAATGTTTGTCCTGGGTGGGGATCGAACCCACGACTCTCGGCGCAATAGTAGGAACGCTACCACCGCGCCATTGAGCCCGCCATTGAGCCATTATACATCGATATAAGATTTTAAATCGAATTGAGATATCTTAAGTGTTGTAAACTGTACATTTTTTTAGATGTGAATGATTAATGTGGAGTTTTCTCACTACATAGTATAAAACAAAGTCGCTTTTTATGTCCCTGTATCTCTATGTACGCTTTAATCTTTAAAACTACGCAACGGTTTTTGATGCGGTTTCTTTTCATGGATAGGGTGATTCAAAAGGAAGGTTTTTATGTATAATACAAGACCTATGTATAATACAAGAAGAAGACCACGCGGGTGAAGCCGCTGGTGGAAAGCTAGTTTACTTATAATTGCATTGTAAGTACATATATATGTATGTTGACATATGGTCATATATACACCCAGTTGCACCACCGTCCATAAAAATTGTCATAATTTTAAAGCGACATATTCAAAGGCTTTCATTAGAACTTAAAGTCGTTATTAAATCTAATGGACATCTGTGCAACTGACCGATAAATAAATATTTAATGTGACCTTACCTAATATATGTTGATCTATACTCGGTCCGCTGACGAACCGTCTGCTGAAGCCCGGATGTAATTCTTCAAGTAACGCCCGGATTTTATCCGAAAAATTCCACAGTAGGAATGTGTGATTGACTTCTAACTCTATTATCACAGAAATCAGATTCTGAAAACGTAAAAAAAAAGTCGTCAAAAACAGTTGCTATTCATGGTTAATTCTTTTATCGCGGCAAGAATAAATAAAATACTTCAATAATCTCATCTCGAGGTAAATTTTAATATAAATTAATTCAAATCGATAATACTATTACGAAGCGCAGCAGCACGATGTTTCGTCTGCTTGTTACTAGATGGCGTCGTGCGTCACCTGAATCGCGCTAGTACCATACACTACGCGTCCTGTTTTAGGACGATGGAAAAGATACTGTCACTGGGGAAGTATGGGACAGGTAGGCATTCTAATACTTTCCTAGAACACTCTAGATGTTGGTAAAGTCTACCTAAGCCCCCGTACTGTCATTCTTTCAGTGATGACGTAATAATATGTTGATATATAGTTCAATTTTTTCATTAGTAATCGTAAGGGACGTATGTAAGCCCCTAGTGACTGACAGTGCTCTACGTACTCTAAGAGTTTTCATGAGGTCAATAAAGATGTCCCTGATAGGGGGTCATCCATAAATAACGTCACACTTTAGGAGGGGGGGGGGGGGGTCGACGAACTGTGACATTAGAACAATATTTAGTTGTATTTATATAGATAAATAGGTGACGGGAGGGGGGGTGTTAATATCCTGAATTTTGTGTGACGTAATTTATGGATGGTCCCTAGTGTGTATAGAGCTAAAGTAAAAAAAAAATACTTACTTCAGCCACGCCCAAATCTGTACCAGTCAAATGTCTCGCGTCCAGCACTATGACAGAGCACTGACGTCGCGCGTGTCGCCGCAACAATCTAGGAACGTGTTCCGCACTAGCGTACGACAGCGGACCCAGCAGGGTTATTGAAACGCAATCTCTGTTGCCGACCTGCGAACCAATGTTAGGGTCTGATGATGGAGCTAGACGACAGCAAATGTTATCCAGTGGAGCAACAAATGTTAGCCAGTTTTTCCTCTAGACAAGTGCGTAATAAACAATCACTCGCTAAACAGTTGACCTTATACAACTGCTACAAAAGTCGACGCACTGCGAAGATTATAATCGACAAATAAACACTCAAATTAACAATTTTGACCTGTAAAACGTAGTTATTATTCACTAGCAACTTTCGTAAGGGTCGGTCACGAGATGAGTGACCGAAAAAATATTATCTCGAGCTACTTGGTGCTTCGGAAGGCACGTTAAGCAGTTGGTCTCGGCTGCATTTGCAGTCGTTAATACCCTCCAATCGGCATTGGAGCAGTGTAGAGGGTGAAGACCCATCCTCCTTAACCATCCATAAGGAAGGCCTGAGCCCCTGCAGTGGGGACGTAAAAGGGATGATGATGATGATAATATTTTGTTTGCATTATCATTTGTAGGTGAGCGACTATATTATTACTTTACTTTTGATAAAATATAATTTCAGCAAGAACAACCACTACATTATGGTCGTATTATAACAACCGCTAACGAGTGGCCGTGTTATATGCTTGCAGAAAAAAAAATATTAATGACCTCTCGCTTACTCTTAAAAAGAGCCGGACAACCAATGAGCTGCCATGCACTGTTTTAGTTCCCAACGTTTTGTCTAGTACCAAAATCTAGAACCTGGGTGGATTACTAATTAAAACAGTTAAACATAATATTTGGACAACCAATGAGCTGTCATTGCACTGTTTTAGTTCCCAACGTTTTGTCTAGTACCTAAATCTAGAACCTGGGTGGATTATTAATTAAAACAGTTAAACATAATATTTCCATGTGTGTTTTGCGATTATAGATTTTATTTAAGTACTTTTAATACTAAATTGACTAATTACAATTGAAGTTGATGAAGCGTTAATGCGTTTCAAGAGAAGGACAACACTTTCAAGTACAATACTTACATTTATTAAGAAAATACCTACTTTTTACCCCCCAACCCCCTCTGCACCTTGACCTAAATACGCTCTGTAGCATCGAAAATGAAACAAGTGCTTGAAAATTCGTCAGTCTTATTAGGTCCCGGGTAGCTCAGTAATTAGAGCAGTCGCCGGATTGGAAAAGGTCATATGTTCGAGTCCAATCTCAGAGTCCAGGGACAAAGTGGACTTTTACAGCATTATTTTCAATAAGAACATTTTTCAGTATAGCGAATATATTTGTGGATGCGAATTAGATCAAACATGAGAGCTAAATAGACGTATTTGCTTGAATTAATGAATGAAATATACTATATTGTACACCGATACAGGACAAAACAATCGAATACAATTATATTAAATGCACAATTGGCGGCCTTATTACTAAAAAGTAATTTAACTAACCTTGAAGGTGTGAGCGGTGGTGAGGGGTCGCGCAGTGCGATACAACGCGCGCGCCGCGTCCGCCCCCGCGCCCGCCACTATCCCGTACTCGAGCCCCGCACTCACCCCCACTACCACTGTCACTCCATACACGCATAGTTCAAACTCTACAACAATTTGTGTAGAAAAAAAATCAAACCACTTCACATACATAGCCTTTTTTTTGTTAAAGCATGGAATATGCACCTTAATCCTTAAACTAGGGCTCCCCCTCCACCCCACCCTGAAAAGGGCAGGTTAGTGTGGAAGTTCTACCTTGTAAAACACGCTGCGGTTCAAAAAAGTTGTGAATGATATGCATTATAATTTTTTTTTTTTTTTTATTGAACACTAAATTATTGTATTGTATTATTGCATATAGTAAGATACAATGACATGGATCACTGATTTCCTGGGCTGTTACACGTTAAGTAACGCGCTAAAATAATTAGCGCGGCAAAAATAAAAGTGGACCAATCAAAGTTCCTTGTGGTACTCCTATTCTTTACATACAAACAAACCTTGCTGAGTTTCTTGCCAATTTTTCGAAGTAAAAGGTCGCCGTAAATTTACGAACTGATTGTATATCGTTTCGACTTTCAAAAGTGCTTGTAAAGGCCCTGACTAAATGAATGATTTTGAAACAGCTCTTATAGCAATTATGAGGATAATGTCATTAATAATATCGAAACAGAAATCGACCTGTAGTATACTCACTGCTGTTATTCCAGAGATGTTTAACAATAGCAAGTTCTACCAGTGACGCCATCGCTACCATTATAATAGCCGCCAGTGTTGCTCGCGGGATGAAGTAGAACGCATCGGTTAGTAGAGTCACTGATAAAAACACTAACGACGCTGTAACAATGAAAAAACTCTGTAATTTATTTGACATTTTAAAGATATCATCGAACTTCACTCTACAACTATTTAACGAGATTACAAGTGCAACGGCTTTTTGAAATATACTGAATGAACGATAATGTCAGTTTAAAGATAATTGAAAATTATATATGTCTAATGCTTGTCTTAGACATATATCTCTTTGAAAACTATCGAGAAACTGCAAACGAAATACTATCTGTAATATTTCGAGAATTTTAGGTAATATAGATAGATAAATCATTTATCGCATCGTGTAATTTAATTAATTCCATAAATCGCTGTCGCAATACCTTTGGAAGAAATCGCAATAGATTTAGAATTAGACAATTAACCCTTAGGTCTTGCGGATACTGACTCGTTGAGGAAGTTGCTGGATATCGTATCGCTGGATAACAGTTATAGCAATTGAATTCTGCAAGATTCTATTTAATAATAATAATAATATAATAATAAGCCTCTTTATTTCCATAACAAGGTAACAAAATGAATATTTGTAAAAAAAAGGAAAAACAATATTTTTAAACATTGTCATGGCCCCTTACGGGTATAGGCCTCCTCCAGGTGCCTCCATCTGTCCTTGTCTTTCGCGACGTCCATCCAGTCCCATCCCACTAATTTTACTATGTCGTCATTCCAACGAACTCTAGGTCTGCCTTGTTTTCTTTTGCCGCACGGACCATGCCATTTGGTGACGCGATTTGGCCATCTGTCTTTAGAATATCGGGCCATATTCCGGCCCATCTCCACTTCAGACGTCGTGTATATTGTAATGCATCTATTACTTGGGTTTTTTGTCTTATTTTATTGCTTTTTTGTTTATCTGTGATCTTAATACTAAGCATGCTTCTCTCCATAGCCCACTGGCACGAACGAATTTTTGACATTGTTTTATGATTGAATATCCAGGTTTGGGCTCCATACGATAGGCAGGGTAGTAGACTGGAATCCATAACTTTTTTCTTAAGGGAAACTGAAAGTTTGGATTTCATTATTTCTTTGAAACTCCAGTATTTTTTCCAAGTAATATTTATTCGTCTATCTAGTTCATCTATATGTCTTGAACTTTTGAAAGATATTTGTTTTCCTAGATAATTATAGCTGTCCACGTACTCAACAGGCTTTTGATTTATTAGGATGGGGGTTTTCTTGCCATTGGTACATACCTTTGTTTTTGAAGTGTTAATTAGTAGGCCGATATTTTTGCTAGCGTTGCTTAGTTCTGTTAGCATAGCTTCTAGCTGCTTTGATGACTTAGCAAACAGGACTATGTCGTCAGCGAATCTTAGGTTGCTCAGGTACTTCCCATCAATGGGTATTACTTTTTTATCCCAGTCTAGTTTTTCCATTATATGATGTAGTACAGCTATAAAAATCCTAGGTGACAGTGGATCTCCTTGTTTCACGCCTCTGCTTATTTTTAATTTCTATTAAAGATTCTATTAAATACTGAAAAATAATCTGTAAGTCTGTTTACCTTTGAAAAACGATCCAGCTGGAGTCATAACGCCGCTAGCGTTATTCAAAGCTGTCCTAGTGAAGGAGCCAGTCGTCGGCATACTTTGGGCGAACGAAGACAACATATTACATAGTCCTATAGCCATCATCTCCTGGGTTGCGTCCACAGATGAAGTACCCGCTAAATAAATAAATAATATACATAATTCGTCTCATTATAAAACGAAATATAACTTTAGTTCCAGGTTTAAACCAATATCCGACGAAAATACGTCAATACGTCACGCCATTGGTTAAAACGTAATCGATTGGCTATAGCATGGGTGGCCAACCAGTCGATCGCGATTGACTCGATCGCGACTTTTAGTCGAGTCGATCGTGGCAATTCAAAAAATATAAATACATAGTGTACGAACTATTTCATTTAAGATTTTAAGAAAGTAATTAAAGTAAGGTAATTGGTAGATCGTAATGGGTGTCGTCAGTGAAAAGTCGATCTTGGGTCTAAACAAGTTGGCCACCCCTGGGCTATAGTAACTATTTCGTAACGGGCTGATAAATAAGGGATGAAATGGGCTAAGAATCATTTCAAAATCCAAAATTTCGCTGCCAGCTTGACGGACACCCCAAAGTGCCAAACAATATTTAAAATACTATCATTTATTATTAGATAGTTATGCTTTTTACTTGCATTTAAGGACTCAAAATTTGCAACAACTTTTTATTTTATTATTCTATTGATGTACGATAGAAAAGCCTGTTGCCAAAATTAGACAAGGTGTTAAGCTGTGAACTGTGGTCTGAGACTTGATGCTTACTGCATTTAAGGAGGTTCCCGAGTTTACCCCTGTACTCCTGGTACATTAAATTTTCACCATCGAAAAGGACAATCTTTTTACAATACGCAATAAATTAATATATGTTTAGTAATAAATTAACTCACCAAAAGCCTTCGCTATAGCTATACTCTCCAGTATGGCCACTAAAGGCATCACGAATCCTTCAGCGCTGAACACAGACAGCATGCCTTCGAATCCGATCGTCTCATTACCAACACGAGTACTAAACGGAGGCAAGCTGAAGTGTGGTAGACCTCCATGGATACTGCCTAAAGAAACAATAAGAATCGATCACCAATTTTAACGTATTCGGCTATATTTTTTTAGTGCACTTTTAATAGTTTTTATAATTGTAAGACACGACACACTCGAAAACAAAAGTTTCGATGCTACTTGTACTCTACTACACTCGGAGGTCAACGACCTCTCTTTGTAGGAATACCTTCAGTTTATTTATTACACATTATAATATTACAGTACACAGTTTTCTTATTATGTTCTGTTAAAGATTTTCAACCGCAGCAATAAAATGTGTACTGATAAAAACTTATCCTGTAAAAATTGGTAACAATATTAGTATTCTTCAAAAATTCAACTCTCTCAAGTGAACGTGGTGTTACTCAAACATGGAACTTGACGTTACTAGTCAACTGCTCGAACAACTAACTACTAGAAAACTTAGCAACTAGGGACACTGTAGAATTTCTCAAGTACTTGTTACTTTCCCTGTTAGGGAGCGTATTTTTACCCGACTGCGCGACGCAAAGGACGGTAATATGTTTATCAGTCTATGTATGTAAGTATGTATGTTTGTTTCTATGTGGCGTTCTAGAGCCCAAATACGTGGGCCAATTTTGATGATTTTTCGTCAATCGATTCGTCTTAACCTTGCGAGTGTCACTAAAGACATGACAGTAATCAAAATTCACCACAGCGATGAACTATATCAAGTGGGGTGTCGTTGAATACGTATTTTAAAATCATCTTTAGGTTCCTTTTATCATTTTAAATAATAGTTTAGGATATATAACGATTTAAAGTTGTTTAACAAAACAATAATTCTCGCTAATTTTCTTACTTATTGATTTAAGTTTTTATTACCCTTGGGAAGATTTGTTTGGTAATATTTGAATGGGCGCCGACTGTGAGTCGTTCTGTTCTGCATTAGAATTTATGGTTTGTTTTATGTGTGTATTGATTGTAAAACTATTTCAATTGTGTAGTTATTTTGTATTAATTAACAGAATTCTAAACTACTGGGTTTGTTTTTTTTTTTCTTTTTAGTTTTTATTGAAGTTAATTTTTTCATGTATTTTTTAAAATTCGTTTTTACGCAGTCGGGTTTTTTTGTTTTTTTCATCAATGTCTTAGCAATCTACCTGTTCTTTTTATACAGCTGGTATTGTAGAAGCTATTGTCTCGTCAAATGTCACCACATTAACAAACTCAAGTCACTATTTATAAACAATCAAAATGCAATTAATTAAACGACCATACGTCACTTATCGGTTCAACCTAAATACTCGACAATAAAATGTACCAAAGTAAGATATTTCTATTTCTTCACGTGTCACCGACCTATTCATACCACTGCTGGGGCACAGCACAGGCCTTTCCTATGGATGGATCCGAATCGAAGGCTTTACCCGTTACATTAACTTTTCTTTCTGCGATTGAAAAAAAAAGACATCTATTTTGATTTCCACAACTACTTTTCCTTCTTGAATACTTCGTTATTGGTCCGGCTTTTCAAATCTTCACATAATGTTTTTCAACTCACCAATAAAAGCGAAAGGCGTCCGTCCATATATATAAAGTACGTACGCCAGTATAGTTCCCGCGAGCACTACTAACGCGTTACGCGCTCGCACCACGTACAAACACATTCGAGACGTTACAACCCGACATTGAGATGATGAATCCGACACTGGCACTACTAAACGCTAGAAAAAAAGAAATACCTTTCTCTTTTAAAAAGAAGTGACTTAAAATATGAATTGAATAAGGCTGTGTTAATACCAAACGTATAGTCAGCCGCTGGCTGTGGGCGAGCAAAACGCAATTTATTAAATATTTTTCCGTACCACATGTACAAATTAACATGACACCTACTGATTTCTAAATTTCACAGGTACTATCATAACATAAGATTAAGACATAAGACTACTAAACTAAAACAAGGCATAGTTTAACTAGAACACGTCTAATCTCATAAATTGCCTAAGCTTAGTTTAATCCAAAAAATGTTACTTTTGATCCCTTGACACATTTAAGACCTGTCATATTACCCAAATGCCTAGCGCAAGAAAATCAATATCTAAAACTTAGATATTGCTTAAGGTCTTTAGGTGGATCCTAATCAATGGTGAAATACATTTTCTCCTTAGGGGATTCCTAAATATGAAGGCAACAGATTGGCACGACTCCGGAATTTAGTGGAAACGAGCATTCGTTATTTTAGCACTTAAATTTTCAGAAAGTGTGAGCACTTCTATTATATTTAAAATTATTTTTAAGTTTCATACGTACGGCACATACGCAATGTGGTTCTTACGATTTCGACTTCAGATTTCACGCCAGTTACACATTTGTTACCGTTCGCTCACAAGCCTCATTCACGCACATTAGTCGTTACAATAATTGTCATAACAATAAAAATTTGAATATGAATTTGCTGTTTTAACATTCTTGCGGATTTGAAAATAAATAAAACCTGCATGGCGTCCACAGTGATTTTTTTTATAACAAAAATATAGGATTCCTCATAAAATTAATGAATGAACTTACTTTAAGTAAAAAAAGCATTACGATGGTCGCGATTCCAAGCACCGTATCCCATAATTGTACAGTCGCAATATTAGAGAAGAAATTGATCAGTGCACTCACAAACGTACTGCCAGAAGAACCTATAAAAGGAATAAAATATTTATAATGGAAAAATCAGCTTTTAAAATTAATGAAAGAATGAGATAAAATGTAGTTGCTTCATAATCTAAATATAAACTTATTTTAATTATTTACCTGATATCCTAAATAAAGTTTTCAACTGTGAAGCGGCAATCTGCAGCGCTGCAGCGGTAGTGAAACCGCTGATCACCGGTTTAGATATGAAATCAAGTAGGAATCCTGGGATAAGGATAATAACGTCATATAGATATGATTTGCATTTACATATTGCAATAGATTATACAGATAATTTTATTACATAGCATGTTAAACAAGAATAGAGGAGCTGTGGCGTCATAATTAAGTAAAATGTAACGTGACGTCTACTAAATGCTTTCTAGCATCATCATGCTGTTCCAAATGCAAATAGATACGATTTTCGAACTGAATCTAAAACATATTTAACGTTACCAGCTCAGTATATAAGCTTAAATATTACAGACAACGTTAAAATGAGTATCTAAAATACTTCTTCGACTAACAATTAAAAAACATCCAATTCAATCTTACTAGTGTGGAGCACTTGACAACTTCATATCTTATTAATAAAAATTAAATCTTACCAAGTTGTAACACTCCCAGCAACAGAATACAACATCCCGATAGAAAAGCAGCTAAGTACGCAAAGTCCACAGAATATGCCACATATTTGGCCAGAAGAGTGGACAATATGGCGGTCGGACCAACGGTCACATCTTTACAACTGCCGAACAGCATATACACGATGCCTGGGAAAATGCTGGAATACAGACCTACCTACAAAAAAAATAAGTAAATAAATTTAAAAGTTGATATGTTATAATCATTCAAAAAACCATATTTCGATGCAGAAATATTTTTAAAGTTTTAAGTTGCAAACTTATTAAATGAAACACAAACACCTAAAAAAATATGTCGACGAAATGCGTCGACCGTGGCACGATAAACTAATATCTCAGTAGCAACCAGACACGGCCACTAAAAATGTATGTAAAATATTAGCTAACCGTGCTAGGTTCACGTAATTTGATAAACACTAATTTTGATAGGAATATTTCAAACTAGCTTCCGCCAGCGGCTCCGCATGTTCCCTAGGAAACTGTTTAGTGGGATAAGAAGCCTATATGCTAAGCCTGACTTAGAATTATCCGTATACCAAATTTCATCAAAATCCGTTCAGTAGTCATTGCGTGAAAGAACACAAACATACATCCATCCTCACAAATTTTCACATTTATAATATTAAGTATATTAGTAGGATTACTCAAGTACAACTTCTTCCTCATTTCATAGCCGCATGATGTTCAATTTGCTATCTTTTCAATGGCAAAGTTTGGACTAAACTACTTGTAAAATTTAATTAAGTTCTGACAAAATTAGAAATACTGTACACGCTCATTGGTGCAAATATCAGATGTGATTATCTGTAAATTGTTGCTTTTGTTATGATATGAATTATGAGAATAGATAAATAGAACTAAAGAACCGACTAAGTTCCACTAAAACAAGCGTTAAGCTTAACGCGAAGAGTTAGAAGCAAACGACTATTTTTTAAAACTTACCTGAGGTGGTACTCCAGCTATGATTGCGTAAGCTATACCTTGCGGGATCGACGTCAACCCAACTGTCACTCCTAGAACACAGCACATCCATCTCTGATCAATAGTAACAAATGATGACCGACCTTCCTGACCGACTGGCATAACACAGATGTGCCAGTCGTACTTTCCTAGATATCACAATAATGTTTTCTTTCTGTATAATTTCTGGTAGATTTAGCAGTTTCTTTATTATTGCTATAACACAAGGACTTTAGCTACTTTATTTTCGAGGATCTCTGAGGAAAGTATGTGATGTATTCTGCGATTATTAAAAAAATTGTTTAGATACACGAACTCCATGGCTTGCGCTGGTTTTAGGTGGTCACCATTTTCTTTATTGTCTCTGGTGCTTTAGCTATTTCATTGGTGATCTGAGCAAATTTGATCTTGTCTGATACTTATTTATTTAAATGTAAAATAATGAACACGCTTGTTCCAAATAAGTGAATATTCAGCACATTTATATTTTAAAAAAGATGGTAGATATTCTTATACGTCAAATGATGAATTAGATTTACCTGCTATAATATCACGGATCAGACATTCGACATTGTATTTAGGCAACCATATTGTAATAGGCAATCTTCTCCTCCAAGACTCTGAACTGCATAACTTCTTTGAGATCCGACAGAAACTACCTTCCCGTGGTTGTCCTGAAGAAAAAAAAATAAACGATTTATGCTAAGGGGGTGCTCATGAAGAAGGAAGTTAGGTAAAGAAATGGACAATAACACAAAGTATTGTGTGAGCATCAAAATATAGAGGGTACTACGCAGACAATAAAGAGGTCAGAAGAAAAGATAGGCAGTTCTACGCAGCCATTCAGTTCCGAATGTCATTCTTCTCCACTTCGGGAAATGCCAAATTCCTAAAACGTACAATCTACTATCATGAGTAATGAATTTGTAGAATACAATTTAATAATATGGTTTTCAAATGTATTTTGAGGCCACGTGGCGCGAATAGAAGTCGCCAGTCGTATTAAGTTCGTGAATAGGTTGAAAATGACAAATTACTCTCAGAGATTGCGATAAATTTACAAATTAATCGCTCACCATAATAACCAATTAATATAAATTAATTGATAAAAGCAACACGTTGGTAGAAGAAGAAAAAAATTTATTAAGAATTTAGCCTTAATTCGAAGATATTTAAAGGTTATCCATGTGACTGAAGGGAAACCCTCTATAGAATCTTGCATCATATAAGTAAAATATAAACCGTCGAACCCTTACTATAATAATAATAATAAATATTTATTCGAGAAAATACTTCCATATATTGTTAGTAGTCTTAGATTATGTTATTACTAGGAATTTAAGTAATTAAATATATCTACTTTTACTATGCGTAAACAACGCTCTCGACAATAAATATAATAATTTTATGCTAGCAATTATTTCACACATACTTGCTAATTATAAAAACATTTCAATATAATTAATTGATATTATCAAGAAACACACCAATAAATATCAAATATTAGTGAAATAAACTTCTAAAGACACGAAAACAGTTTCGAATTGCTTCATCACTTTTTAATTGACTTGAGTCAACAAACAAACCTCTAAAAAATACATAATAGACATTAATTAAAAACCAAAGATCCAGTTCAATAACCACCAATTAATATTACAACATATAACAACAACAGCATTACCTATCATACTGGTATTGTGTTCGATGCAAATTACACCACTCATATTGAATCCAAGCCAAATACGCTTCAGTGAATAATAGACTACCTACTAAATTCCCATCTTAATCTTTATTACTCATACACAGAGTTTAAATTAATACTTCAAGATTATTTAAGAAGTTATTACGCTTGAAAAAATATATAAAAATTACACGAATGAGCTTCAATAAGGCTAACGTGGTACTAATGATAAAATGTAACATATTGCTGATGTTACTTATGCCTTGTAGTATGTTGTAATGCGAGATATGCTATAGTAAGCGATTTCTGATACTGATAGTATGGAGGAATTTTTAACTGTTAGACTATAATTAACACAATCAAGCAATTTGTTAACACTGAAATATACACTTCAGTAAAGGACTCGATTAAAAAAAACACAAAAATAACAGTGCCTTAAAATCATTTTACAACAAAAATATTTCAACTCAACTCTCTACCTATATCATGGACTAATTTATTGGTCCTATTAGTTGCCAAATTATTTGTCCATGCCTATATGTAATTTATGTACAAATATAGTTAAACATACGACTTACGTAAGTCGACAGTCTTCCGTAAGTCGTATGTTTACCTTTGACTCAATTAAGCTCAAGAATCTAGGCCGTTATTCGTTATGGATTCCTTGCTGGAAATCACTTCAATATTGTGTTCAGATAAAACATTTGCAATATTTGTATTCTATATTGAATGAAAACCCCTGGGAAAACGCACGAATTCTACGCGATATGAATTGTCAAAAATTCCACACTAGAAAATCGTGCGGAATGCCTGTATTAGCCAAGTTTAAAACACGTCAGCATTCTAAATGATTCGCCCGTACCGTACACCGCCGCAAATTGCTTACCCTGACAAGATTAGAGCGAGGTGTGATGTGAGAACAGCCCTAGGCGGCGGAAGATGCGTCGCGTCACATCTGTCATAGAAGGTCACACCAAGGTCACATCTGACAAATTATATGTTTTTTTTTATTTATTTTTTTTTATTAATTTCCGACTCCCCGATCTGTATCAGGTCGTTATCATTCCTTTATATTATATGTCTTTACCTGGTCCGCGGGTATGTTCTTTTACCCTTGTCTTGTCTTTTTATCAACTATTACATTTCATTTGCAATTAAGTTTACATTCTAAAATATTTCTACTTATATTTTCTAAATATATTTATTTATCGTCTACCTTTATATGACAAATGATATGTTAGGAGATTCAACCTCCCACACTCTCCGGAAATTACGTCTCTTTCCAACGCATACTTCTGTCTAACACTTGATAGATTTTTCGATAGATTTGCACAGACCCTTAAGTTATTTTTAATTAAACAGCATTGACTTTTAGTCATTCCCAAATCAAAAAATCTTCTCTCCATATAAAATTATCTAGCATCGCTTCGCTCATGATATGCTTCGTTCCGAATATGGTAATGACTGGCAACGTTAAAACTAGGATAAAGACAACTAAATAATCATTAAGTCAGTAACGATAATACAGACTTCCACTACCTACAAAACCTATTTGCACAGACGTAAAGATATTTTCATTATTTTTATAGCGGCAATATAACAAATTTCCTTTATCATGCTCTTTTGTGTATTATGAAAACTGGTATGGCGAGCGAGATTTAAAGTTTTCGTTCGAGTTAAGAAAGTAAAAATTATTTATATATAAAAAAATATATTATTTAACAGAATTCGAAAACTTTTGAATAACAAAGAAAATCTTTTGATAAATAATTCACGAAACTTGAAAAAGTTTTTGGACTTATGCACAAAGGGTATCTTCGTACCATTATCTTTCAATAACAGAAAAAAGTCGCGTCTATTGTATGGAACCTACCTTAAATATTTATTTTATTCTTTTATTAATAAATATAATTAAAGCGTCAATAGAAATACATCATAAGATAAAATAACTATCTAACTATCACAATTCATGAGACGCAGCCTGGTAACAGGTAGACGGACGAACAGCAGACGGATAGACAAACTGACAGTGGAGGTTCAGTAATTGTGTACCGTTTTTACCATTTGGATAAGGAACCATATAAAGTATTGTGTTTTACAAATACAGAATTTTTATTTACATTCATCTTAAACATAACCAGTTTTATCTAGATATTAATTCCTAAACAAAGTGATTTGTATATGTATGTTACGTTCAAAGATCGAAATTGCTCATTGAGCGAAATAATACGACGCGTTGTGGCAATCTCATAATAACCACATAGCGAAAGCCGTGTGGCGGCTATTCGATACCAACGCGCTATGGCAATGAAGAAAAGCCATGACGCGTCCTGAGCATTAATTGGTTTAACACTTGGCCGGCCGCTGCTAACCTAATAAAATGTGGTTCAATACGCTTCATGCTTTTCCTTTATTGCTACAACGCGTTGTGGTCGAATATCAAGACGGTTACGACACGGATTTCGCTATGTGGTGGTTCTATGAATGCCACAACGCGTCGTGAACTTTTCCATTAGAGCCATACCAACAATTTCGCTACGTGGATATTTTACTGTGACCACAACGGATTGTCAACTTTTTTTTCGATTTCGATCTTTGAACGTAACACACACCTACAAACCAATGTCATTTAGATTAGCTAATCACTATAATTTTTATAACTTAATAATGAGCAATTTGCGAGCCAGACAATTCTAGCCACTTATTTTTTATCAGTTCATTGCTCAGTAAAAGATCATGACTCCCATCTCAGAGTTCCAGGGACGAAGTGGATTTTTTAAGCATTTTTCATTGAGAATTCCTTTCAATATAGCATCATGAATGTAAAATTTATCAAATATAATAATTAGAACAAATTTTGTTCTTTTCCGAAAGTAAGGGTGGACTGACTGAACATTGACGAAAGTACTCTGTGTAGTAGCGAAAAAGTAATAAGTGCTTGAAAAATTCGTCAGTCCTGTTACGTCATAAGTAGCTCCGTCGTTTAGAGCAGTCGCCCGGATTGCGAAAGGTCATGGGTTCAGCATTTACTGTTAGGTTGTCAGGTGGTAGTACCTACAGCTATGCGACGAGCTACGTCACAAGTAATACATAAGACTCATTCTGGCATGGTACAGACTAAAGCATTGGCACGTAGTTACATTTGGTGGCTACAACTGAACAACTATATAGAAGCGCTTATTAGCAGCTGTGTAATCTGTTTAACTAATAGACATATGCCACCTAAATCTACACACAAATGGATTACCCCTGCTAGAGCCTGGTCTAAATTGCATATTGATTTCGCAGGTCCATTTCAAAATAGAATTAGACAAAGCATCAACTACTATCAGAAATAGATATTTTCTGATAGTAGTTGATGCATATTCTAGATGACCAAAAGTTATTATGGTAAATAATATAACATCAGCTACAGTTATCAAGCATTTAAGAATGCTATTTGCAACACACGGATTTTGTGAAGTATTAGTCTTTGATAACGGATTTTAGAGCCCAATAAGATAAAGCAAATCACCACAGCACGTTTCCATCCTGCTACTAAGAGCTTGACAGAAAGAATGGTATAGACAGTGAAGAACAAGTTACACTACAAGTCACTCTAAGAACAATACCTTGTACTTCAAGCAACAAAAGTCCGGCTGAACTTTAAATGAATAGATGCTTACGAAACTCTACTGGATACCTTGCACCCGGATAATAAACAAAACAAAAAGACAGATACACAAATTTCGAAAAATGCACAAGCTAAAGGGAGACAAATGTCAGTAATGAAGTGATGTATAGGAATTATAGATAAGGGCCAAGATGGCTTCCAGAAAAGGTTATAGATAAGACAGGACTGTCAAGTTATAAAGTCCAGAATAATAAGGGTGCACTAATAAACAGACACGTGGATTAATTGATAAAAGTAAGAACAAGAAATCAACTTAAGGGGGAGTAAATGAGGGTATCTGAGTGCCCTAAAATAATAGATAAAGATATGACAGAAATAGATATGAATTTGGAATCTCTACTGCACTATGTGCAGGACATTAATTATGTTATTGAAATACCTAGTGTGGACAAATGGGCTGATATGCTCGGTATCCCAATTACTTCAGATACTGACTATTCTGGGGGCAAAATTAAAAACAAATTTATAAGACATCCCAAGAATCCATATGATAGGCCATCTTCATCAAAAAATTAACTATTATTATTAGTCTTGTACAATTGTCTTATTTGACTTTAATTAAGTATGCCATGTACAATAATTAGTGATTTGTTTATTAATGTTGATGTGATAGCTATGTTCCCTAGATTAATTGTTTATATTTTATATTAAAGTTAGGATTTTTAATGTTAGGTGAAGGGATGTTATGTATGTGGTTGTCACTTCAATGCTTTGTATGATGATAAAAAAAGTGTAAGTGGGTAGTTGGATCACTAGGCGACATAATTTCACTCTGTATCAGCTACTGAGCTCAATATAAGATAATTGTTTAATATGTGTTTCAATCCTATAATACATAGTGTGACAGCATAATAAAGCAGGGGCTATTCAATAGAGATGGACATATGCAAGTCAGCAGGCATGCCCACTGGAATGTATAATAACTGCAGCCAATGAGTTCCCCACTTAATAATAAATTTTATATCTCTGAATAGAACAAAGTCCTGAATAATTATAAAATAAAATATATTACTAACAGAAAAGTATGCTTTTAAGTTGCAGTATATGAATCACCTTCCCCTTAATAAGATAAATGAATAAAACAACAAACTTGACTAAACTATTTCTAGACAAAGGTCAATTTTATAAGAAATAATTTTTTTAAAAGTGAATAGATTAATATTGTCAACAACTATCTATCCATCTGTCTGTCTATTGTTTCAATGCAAATAAAAACTAAGTACATCATTCATATTTCATTAAAACATCTTCTTTTTAAGGAAAATACCTTGTCTATAGGAATATTATCTGCCTATAAATTCTTCGGACATTGTATTTAATATTTGAAACATACAAATATTTATCTTTTTTGAGAAAAATATGAATATGTC